CACATACTCCATCAACCCAACCACTCTTGTTGTTCTATGCCGACTTTATCTCATAATGATCACCTCAGGGGATATTCACTAAAGGTGAAGACCCAGAACAGCCACTTTGATTGCAGGCATCATTCGTTTGCAGTCAGACTGTGCGGCGTATAGAATTCTCTTCCATCTGATGTAGTGTATGCTCCTAAAGTTGAACTATTTAAATCGCAACTTGATAAAGCATTGGAACATTTAAAATTTCACCATCCTTGAGTAATCATGCAAAGTATTATCATTATTATTTTCTCTTTGTGAAGTTATTCAAAATATTCTGTAAAATTCCTGTAGGGCATGATAAGCTTTAACTTTGTTAAATCGCCCATAATAAAACTTTGACTTTGACTTTATACCAGAAACTTGTTCGGGTATGCTCATTTCCCCCGGAAAACAGTATGTGTGGGAAGGAGAACAACTGCCATCTCCAAACCTTATGACTGATGGTAACAAACAGTTCAAAGTCACGTACACACACAATCGGAACAACACAAGTAGACAAACCCTGGAGACAAAACAAAACGTGCGCAAATGATCACCACCCCTACTCGGTCAAAAAAGATGATCAATAAGTACACGCACGCACGCGCACACATACACAAGCATATGCATCCACTCACGCAACTACACCCACAAACATGCATACAGGCTGTCCCAAATCGGTCTCACCAAACATGATGTTACGGTCAAACGCAATGAGGCATTGCTCGTCGAGTGAGGGACAGGGGACGGGGTGCGGAGGTAGCTGTGGTATCATGTCTGCATAGTCTCACACGTGCAAGCGACGGATGCAAACATCTGGTCTTGGTTCGATCGGCATAATCGATGGCAACACAGAATCGGAATATGATAGATGTGTGTGTATGTGTGTGTGTGATCACGTGCCCGATACGGATTCATGAATATCGCAAATGAACTATTTGATTGAGCATGTGAAGTTCACAATCTGGAGACAGCTGTCGGTGCAATTGAATTTTATTTGTACTTTTTCCTTCTGTTCAACAAACAGGCCGGGGGAGGGCGGGGTCATTTAAGCGCTAATCAATGACCATAGATAGAGAGGGAGTATTGAAATCAATTATTTTGTCTTTTGTGTTGTTTTTGTTGTCGTGTAATACGGTCGTCTTGAGACAGACACGAACGTGAATGCTGCCGATTACACAATAAAGTCTGTTTAATTGACAAAATCGGTTTATGAATTGTGCGGGTTTCGAATGAAACTCTTTGGTTGACAATTTGACATTTTGAGTAAGATTGTGCATCGCAAGAAACTTTTGATTAATCACTGTGACTGACAGACGGACAGATAAATATGAAAACTGTCTGGGTAATTGATAAAGAGATGCGAATTTGAACAATAACCTTGTTGACTACAAGTACAAACTACATTTCTAGCGATTCAAAAAGTCAACTTCCTACTGAGCACATTTATCTCACCGTTGATTTGGTGTTTGCTGCTACCCTCGTTCAAACAGTTCAACGAGTAGAATAAAGCCCGAAATTCGTTGAAATTGTGTACTCACCCCTCGGATATACTTCACACATCTATGGTTGTGACGGATTGCTAGCGGTGGAAACAGCAACAGGGAGGAAGCTGTTTGCCAGTTTGTTCTAAAGCAAATAAAGTTCACCTATGTAATCAGCTCTTGGTAATGCAGTCCTGCGTAGGCAGTCTTTCAGTCTTTTTCAGTCTTTCCCTCCAACTTTCTTCTTTTACAACCCCTTCAAAACACGCCGTGATTTTTCCCATTCCCAAACGCGGTGAGCTTTCTAAACCCAACAATTACCGACCCACTTCCCTCACATCTGTTCTTTCAAAAATATTTGAAACTATCATTTCTGACCAGCTACGCACGTTCCTTGAACGTGAAGAACTACTGAGCGACCGCCAGCATGACTTTCGACCGCGTCGTTTCACCGGTGACCTGCTAGCTCCTGTCTCACAATCCGGGTCAGCTGCACTCGAAAACCTCGAGGATACACACTTGGTCTCGCTTGACATCTCAAAGGCCTTTGACCGACTTTGGCACGAAGGTTCATTGGCGAAACCACCAATGTTCGG